GCAGGGGAGGTGGGGGCACTCACCAGGTTCTTCATGGACTCCAGGTCGATCTCCAAAGACTGGAAGGTGCGCCGCAGCTCCGTGAGTGTTGTCTCGGCTGCGCTGACCTCCGCCAACTGCGAGGTGACGATGGTGGTGCTCTCCTCGATCTGCGGGGCGGGGCAGCTCCGTCAGGCCCCGCCTCCCCCATCTTCTTCCCTGTCTCTCCCTTACCCCTCTTGCGCACCTGCTGGGACCAGTACTTGTCCAGCTCCTCGCGATTCTTCTGAGCCAGCTCGTCGTACTGGGCCCGGATGTCTGCCATGATCTTGCTCAGGTCCTGAGATTTGGGGGCGTCGACCTCCACGGTCAGCCCAGAGCTGGCGATCTGGGCTTGCAGGCCTTTTACTTCCTAGAGGAGATTGGGGGGGGGGGGACAAGGGGCTCAGAGCTCCATCTATGCCCTGCTCCTGGGACTGCCACCTAAGTGAGAACTCTATATACCCTGGGCAGGGCGGTTCTGGGCTTGCTACTCCAGTCGCTGGAAATGCTGCCCACCCGCTCACAGAGTTTGCTCTGAATCAGAGTATAAAGCCGGGCCCCTGGCTGATGGCTGCAAACCTCCTCGCAAAGCTACTGGCGGGTGGCCTCCCCTGCCCAACACCCCCACCCAGCTGGCCAGGGGTCCCCACGTGCCTCCTCATGGTTCTTCTTCATGAACAGCAGCTCCTCTTTGAGAGCCTCGATTTCTGTCTCCAGCTGCAGCCGGCTGACGTTGGTGTCATCGATGACCTTGCGCAGCCCATGGATGTCGCTTTCCACCGACTGGCGCATGGCCAGCTCTGTCTCATACCTGTGGGAGCGGAGGTGGTCAGAGCCCCCTACTCCCTGACCCAGCACTTTCTCAAGCCATGCCACCTCCTGACAGCCCTGTGCCCCCTGCAAACCAGGATCAGAGTCAGAAGGCCGGAGGCAGTCCCTGTGCCCACTCTTGGCCCCGGGAGGAAGGATCCTTAAACTGGGTTGCACAAGTGAGCAGTCTGACAAATAGAGACAAGGCCTCTCATCTACCAGCTCTATCCATTCCTGAGTAACACCCTCCTGCGGGCGCGCGGTAGCCCTGCCCCTGGTCCTCCAGCCCCAGACATACTTGACCCTGAAGTCATCAGCAGCAAGACGGGCATTGTCGATCTGCAAAACGATGCGGGCGTTGTCCACGGAGTTGGCAAAAATCTGGGAGTTCGTGCACACAGAGAGAGAGAGAGAGAGAGTGAGAGAGAGAGAGAGGTTGCTCGGTGAATGGGAGCCAGTGGGGGAGGGAGGCTGAGTGTCCAGGCCCCAGAACAGCAGCCTGAGGTGCTCCCTGCACACCTGTGTCCCGCCTCCTCCTGTTCCCTCCTTTCCTGGACTCCCAAGTGCCAGCGCTCTGCTCTCAGGACTGAGCAGCTGCTCCGGGAGCTCCTCTCTCCCTGGGCCTCTCCTGGCACCTGCGCACCCCCTGCTCAGGGGGCCCCCCACCCCCTGGGCTGGCCCCTCCCACAGGTAGGCCCTTCTGTTTACTCCTGAATGACTCAGCCTTAGCCACATCCGCTTAACCCTCCAACTGTCCCTGCTGGGCCCCAGGCCAGAGAGCGTCCGATCCGCTTTTTCTCACCCTCCTCCAGGCTTGGTCGCCATTCCCTTCCTGCTGTCTCCCAGGGAAGAGCCCCCATGCCCCGCTAAGAGCCTGGGTGTGTGGGTGGACTGTCCTAACCCTCTCCCAGGAGACCGGTGGGGTGAAGCACAAGGGGGAGGGCCAGCCCACCCTGCCCAGTTCAAGTCCCGGTGCTGGGGCATGGGAGGCCGGGGAGAGGGTAACTGGAGGGGCCCCGGCGTACCTGAGCCCTCAGCTCCTCGATGGCCTTGAAGTAGTGTCCCCAGTCTCGGACTTTGGGGCCCTGTTTCTCCAGGTGCTCCCGGATCTTGCTCTCCAGCCGCCGGTTGTCAGTTTCCAGGCTCCTCACCTTGTCCAGGTAGGAGGCCAGGCGGTCGTTCAGGTCTTGCATGGTCTCCTTCTCGCTCTGGATGCCCCCCATGACTGCCAGGCCCCCCGTTACCCCTGTGGCCAGGCCCCCGGCCCCCCAGCCGCCCCGGAAGCTGCTGGAGTGCGACACGGAGATTCTGGACCCTGAGCCCCCGGCGCCCGCATAGACGCTGAAGGCGCTGCTAGCCGGCCGGGCGCGCAGGCTGGACGAGCGCGCCGAGCCCAGGGACCGGTAGTTGGTGGAGAAGGTGGTGGAGCGGGTGGTGAAACTCATGCTGTCCCAGGTGGAAGGCGAGAGGCCAGAACTCAGGTGCCGACCGCCGGACGGCGACTCAAGTTATACCGCTGGGGGAGGGGCGGGGACCTCCCGGCAGGCCACGCCCCCGCCACCGGGACCGCTTCTGAAGCCGGGGCCACAGGTGGGCCTAGAGCCGGGAAGCCGCGCCCTGGGTTGCCGCCCTCCCCACCGCCTCCCCCTGCACGGACCTGGCCAAGGCCACCCTCACCCCCCCAGAGATGGACGACGAAGGGGGACAAAGAGCAGCAGGTGTAGCTAGCCCTCCACACTGTGGTTTCAGGGCAGGAAATGACATCATTGTATCCCCCCTCCCTTAGGTAGAGGAGGTGCTGGCAGGTTGGAAATTTGGGGGTACTGGTGGTGTGCAGTGGATGGAGGTGTGGGTCGCTTCAGCTGCCAATCCTGAGCCCAAGTCTCCCACCTGCTCAGAGGACCTTATTTATTTATTTTTTTGGGGGGGAGGGGGAAGGGTGCCTGAAGTCCCAGGTGTCCTGGGGAAGAAAAATTCGTGGGAACTGGAGAGGAGGAAAAGCAGGCTGCATCCTGGGCTCCCTCGGGAACACGCCCGCCCACACGTGCTCACGGAGCGGAGGCTCAGTGCACACACATGCACCCCACACCAAGTAGGTTCAGCTGCCTGAAAACAAACCCAGGCTCTGAGACAGGCCCCCCACCCCCACCCCAAGATGGGGGGTCTTGAACGCTGTTATTTGGATGGGGTGGCACAATCTCACCTCCGCACACCTAACTATCTCACCTATAAATCCTCTGGTAAACAGACACTTCCTGAGCCTTTGTGGTTCTCAGGATATTTCCCCCGGCACCTACTGTGCACCAGGCCTTGTTCTAGAAGGTGGGAAAAGAGCAGTGAACAAAGAGCCCCACGGTGGAAAGCACACCTGGAAACTTCCGGTCAAGCCCCAGCCCTCCTGCGCAGCCTCTCCCTGCCCCTCTTTGTAAGCCCCCCCAATAAAAAAGCACCTGTCTCCAGGGGGTGAAGGAGGAGGCAGGGAAGCGCCCCCCCAGCCTGAATGATGACCCCCGCCCGGATAAACAGGGGGACTTCCCAGGGGCACTGGGCCTTCCAGTCTGTCAGCTGGTTTTTCCAGCAGGGCCCGGGTCACGCTCTTTGCTCTGAGTGGCCCTATTGATTCTTATCCAGTCGCCAGCTGAGCTGATCCCAGGAGGGCAGGCCTGGGCCGGGAAGGGGCCCTGGGAGCCAGCCCCACGGGCAGCACCGTGCGGTTGGAGGCATCACCCCTAGGTTGTTCCAGGTCTGCTATGGTGGGGGGCAAGGGAGGCCCCCAGGGCACTCTGTGGGAGCAGCCAGGGAGGGGTGGGGCAGGGTCTGCCCGAGGCCAGGAGGCAAAGAAGATGCAAAACAGCATCTGAAGAATGCAGCCGCGTTCTCACGGAAGGTTTAGGGAGGTGAGGCCGGCTGTGGATTTAAAAAGTGTGTGGCCTGTCTTTTGCTGGTTTTGCTACGCTGAAAGGCGGCCAGCTCGGGAAAGTGACTTAGCTAGGGTCTCCCATTCTCGCTCAGTTCTTCACGGAACACACACGGTCTGCCCAGTGAGGCTCCAAAACCTCCGGGGGTCAGTGGACCGCTCCAAGCCAAAGTCGCCGCAGACCCCTGCGGCGGGGTGGGGGTGGGGTGGGGGCTGGAATGAATTCTCCCAGCAGGCCCCAGCGTCCCCACATCCAGCCCTGACCCCTGCCCCGCCGCAGCCGTTCGGGACCCTCCGGGAGCGGCGAGCCAGCTCGGCCGGCGGCCAGCTGCACCTTATCTGCGCGGCTGATGTCCAGGGCCGCATTCCGGACCTCTTACGGCATCACGGCAAATACCGACCTCAGGCCCCCAGCGCCAGCCCGCCCCTGACCAGCGCGGCCAGATTCCTCCGCGGGTCTGGGCGAGGGGCGAGGGCTGGGCTGGGGGCAGGGTGGGAAGGGGAACGGGTGATAGATAGGCGAGTCCCAGAGGGGGCGGAGCGAGAAGCGCCGAGAACAAAGACGCGCTGGGGGATTCGGCAGAGGGGCCCTGGCCGACAGGGACTGGCTCCCCTCCCCCCGGGCGCTGCATTCCAGCGTGCGGCCCGCGGCGGGGGGCGGGAACCTGCGGGACAGGTTTCGCTCAGAGCAAACTGGGAGAGGGCTGGGTCAGCGCTTGGCTCGCCTCCCCGGGCCCAGAGCCGCCGTTCCGGGGCCAGGGCGATGGTGGCGAGATAGAGCATGAGGCCGGAGCCCTTTCGCGCTGCGTGCAGGAGGCAAAGATCTCACCCGGCCCGGAGGAGGGAGGTGTTTGGATCAGCAGTTGGGGTGTGGGCGTGAGGGCTGGAGCCCACGTGGCCGGGGACTGGCCCAGATGTGTTGGAGTAGGCGAGAGGTCGGCTCGGAGGAGAGGCTTGGGAGGGGGCTCTTCCCGAGAAGTCCCCACCTACTGGGCTCCAAGGGCTCAGGTGTCAGGGGCGGAGCCGATGAGCCGAGGAGGGCCCGGCGGCGCTCAAAGGAACGGGGATTCCCCCAAGCCCAGCCCTGCGTCCGGCCTAACGCGCAGGGCGGGCTCCGGAAATCATTTAGGTTTACGTTTAGGTAATTAGGGACAGACAGGTGCCAGGAGCCAGGGCGGGGTGGGGGGCGCAAGACCTGCAGCCGGGGAGGCCGAGAAGAGGAGGGCTGGAGGGGGTGCACGATTGGGGTGCAGGGCCCGAGCTGACTCTGCAGACTTTGAGTCTCGGCCGGTGACCCCGCCCCATTTGGAGGCCCTGGTGCTGCCTGCCCAGGGTGGGAGGCAAGGGTGGGGGAGAAGGGGCGGGGGGGGGGACTTCTGAGGCCCTGGCACCTGGGGTGAGGGGGGTCCCAGGAGGCGGAGGCGTCTACTCTCGCTGCCTGCACTGGGCTGGTCCCTGGGGGTTTAATCCCCAAGAATGAAGCAGAGAGGCGCTGAGCTGCCTGGGTGCTGGCGCCCAGGAGGAGCGGTTAAAGCCCCTGCCCCCCTGCCCTAGCCGCCTCCAGCAAAGCCCCGCCAGGCCCGGCCCTGCCTGTTCTGAACTCTTCTTCCCTTTCTGATCCTGGTGCCTTGGTGTCGCCCGCCTCACTCAGCTCCCACCGCGGGCTGCGGCACCTTGCCCCTGAGCTACAGGGTAGCAGCCACACAAGGGGACTTCAGAGCTGGTGGAAAATGGAAATAAAGCATACGTTTATTTTGGTGCAAAAGTATTTTGAAATTCACACTTTTTTTTCATAGCATGCATTGGCAATAAACCTTAAAAAATGATGTTCATGTTATTTGAAAGGCCAGGAAGAGAAAGAGAGATCTTCCATCTGCTGGTCTACTTGCCAAATGCCTGCCGCAGTGAGGGCTGGGCCAGCCTGAGCCAGGAACTCCATCCAGGTCTCCCAATCACTGGCCCTGGGGCCCTGGGTGTGTTATCCATTACAGCAGAAGCAGAGCTGGGACTTGAAGCAGGCTTTCCAAAATAGGATGTGGTTGTTGCAAGTGATGGCTTAATCTGTGCAAAACACCTGCCCGTGAACCTCAAAAAAATTATGCATGTATTTATTTGCGAGAAAGGGCTTCCCTCCATTGGTTCACTCCCAAATGCCAGTGACTGCTTGCCTGGGGGCCAGAGTCAGGAGCTGGGAATTCCATCCAGGTCTCCCGGGTGGGTGGCAGGAACCCAAGTACTTGAGCCATTACTCTTGCCTCCCAAAGTCTACACTGGCAGGGAGCTGGGGTGAGGAACTGAACCCAAGTACTACGTACAGTGTGGGGTGTGCGCCTCTTAACCACTCGGCTAAACACCTACTGCTGCCATGAACTTTGGAAGATGCCTCGTAATGCATGGATGTCAAGAGTTTTTGCACGAGGGGCCCTGGCAGGTGCTGGAGGGGGGAGGCGGGGCGCAGGTGACAGTCCCCTGCTCCAGCCCTTGTTGTCTGCCCTGCCCACTCCCTTCCTTCCCAGTCTCCTTATGCCTCTGGCCGTCACCACCCTCTTAACTTTCTGCTCCCTGCGTGAATGGTGACCTGTCTCAGATTCATCCAGCTTGGGGTGGGCGTTGTGGTGACGGATTCAAGTCCTGGCTGCTCCACTTCTGATCCAGCTCCTTACTAACGTGCCTGGGAAGCTGCAGAGGGTGGCCCAAGTATCTGAGTCCCTGCCACCCACTTGGGAGACCTGGATGGAGTTTCTGGCTCCTGGCTTCAGCCTGGCCGAGTCTTGGCCGTTGTGGGCATTTGAAGAGTTAACCAGCAGATGGAAGATCCTGCTCTTGCTCTCTATCATTCTGCCATTCAAATAAAAAAGTAAATCTTTTTTTTTTAAAGATTCATTTTATTTATTTGAAAGAATTACAGAGAGAGAGGTCTTCCATCTGCTGCTTCTCTCCCCAAATAACGGCAATGGCCAGAGCTGTGCCGATCCAAAGCCAGGAGCCAGGAGCTTCTTCCAGGTCTCCCATGCAGGAGGAGGGGCCCAAGCACTTGGGACGTTCTCTACTGCTTTCCCAGGTCCATTAGCAGGGAGCTGGAGCAGAAGAGGAGCAGCCAGGATGCAAATCGATGCCCATATGGGATGCCGGCACCACAGGCAGAGGCTTAGCCTACTACACCACAGTGCCTGCCCAAAAAAAGTAAGTCTTAAAAAAAAAAAAAAAAAAAAGCAGTCATCTAGCCAACCTGTCATGTCTCTGTCAGTCTTGTCTCCCTGGCTCTGACTTGGCAGATCTGTGAGCAGCTAGAAAAGCAAGGCAGGAGCCTGGGAGAGGCGTGGGGCAGGAGGCACAGGCAGCCCAGAGGCCTCTATGCATACTGGAAGGAGGCAGCCTGCTCGTCTCCTTGGCCGGGCGCCCTGGTACAAGTGAACACTCTGCATAGCCGTATGCAGGGGTTCTGTCTGGAGCTACCCATCCCCAGAACCCCCAGAAGACGTGGGTGGAAGCCAGGTACAGGAGAAGGAAAAAGACCAGAACAAGGAAGGGGCAGTCGGCACGGAGGGAGGAGGGAGAGACAGGAGAAAGAGAGGAGGCCCAGACCCC